CAGTTCTTGACATGGTTAAAGCTGTTTAGACGGGCAAGGTAGTGCGCCATCCGAGGATTATACGGAAGCATTTGTATGAAAGTTCATCAAAGCACTGCCGTTGGGATCAACACAATCAAAACGCACATTCAGTTAGTACTCCTGCCAATATTGGTTCAGATCCCGAAGCTTCGCCGCGTACGCCGGTCGCAGGGCTTGCAAGTACCGACAGTCCGGATTGTATGTCGCGTGCTCCTTCCAGAAATCGTCGCCCCAGTCGGCGGACGCCAGACGGTGACCGCAACAGAAACACTTGACGCAGAAACAACCCTGGTCGGGCACGTAGATGTAACCGGCTTCGGCCAACCGACGGGGAATACGGACGTGAGAATTAAACTTTTCAACTGGATATGTCAGCAGACGGCTTTCGACTGAGCTGTAGGCACATGTACCGTAAGACTCCATTGCATAAGAAACCTGAATACGAAAATGAAGATTCACTATGCCCGGATCAAGGATTTTATATCATCTCTGTGCTACGCATTTAAACTCTTTTTTCACACGTTACTCCTGTGACAATTTTCTTTTCCATACATTTAAGCCCACCCCACAGCTCACTCATGTTGAATCGTGTTTACAAAATCTTCAGCGATGGCTAACCTCAAGCCATGATGCCGGACATGAATCGCCGTGAAAAGCGGCTGAGAAAATTGTTGTCGCAGTTTTCTACTTTTTGTTGTTTGTAATGTTTACGTTTTTTGTAATTCTGGATGCATTTGGAAAAGTACTCCAGACAGACCACTGGAACCAGACTGTCCGCAATATGACCGCGGTAAGCCGAAACCGTTCATTGTTTTAAGAGAAACTAATGACTGCATTTTGCAGCATGGCGGGACGTGAAAGTCGACACTTTCAAAGCAACTAGTTTTAGTTCATCAGCTGATATTTTTGAGATTTATGAATGTTTGTACTTGAAAATACCGAGGGGTCCCTTGAGGGGTCGGCTGTTTAAAAATAAAATGAGCGGCACGCTGTCATGATTTATTCACATCTCTACTTTATGCAAAAATTGCTTCAATACTGTCGTTCGTAGATCCCATAACTGTCGCAAATTGTAATCTCTCAAAAAACTGGAATACTTAAACAGAATCCCATAGTAACAACATTTAGGCAGTTGTTTAAGAAGCTGTTCCTTCACACGGAGTTGTAGATCCTGCTTCGAAAAGTCCGGCAGAAATAGCTGGATTTCGCGATTCAGTTCGACCATGTACTGGTCCCAAAACCACATCGGCAATTCTGCAAAAACACGGAGATATAGATAATCAATAAGCAAAATTGTACATAACTCACCCGCCGAGCCGCGGTTCATGACCGACACAAAGCTGCTCAGTAGTGTAAGAAGCTTGTCGGTAGTCGCAAGCCGAAAGTTCTTGAAGACTTCCATGCGAATAGTGCGAAAGCAGGTGGCAGCGATCTCGATGCGGAATGTAACTTCTTTCTTTCCGGAGAATTGTTTTCTGAAGCCCCCGCGCAAAGGTTTTCCGAAGACGTCCCATTGAAAGTCTGACGATGGGCGCTTCTCTTGAACGGGATTCGGTGATGCGTTTCGCGAATCAAGTTTGCTCTGGTAGGACAGCATGTACTCCAAAAACGCTACGAATTGATCGCTGCTGATCTCCACGTTATCTCTGGGCGTTTCCAGACGTACAGTGTGCGCTTCGTTTCGGTTGTCTCTCACAATATGCAGCAGCGTGGTCTTCCCAAACAGCATAGTACCCGCAACACCCACTCCCTCTACAAATCAGTGAACTAGAGTAGTAATAAATCTACCGTGACGAGAAAACTTGACAAATCGAGCTGTCGTTAGGGTACCAAGCAAAATGTGTTTCATACCGTCAGCAACAGGTGCTTCATTTGACGTTGGTCCCAATATGGCAAACAACTGATCCCACTGCATCCCGCTACCGAAATCATCAGCTACTGCAGCAAACCCAGTCTGCATCACTTCCACAGATGCCGGCATATCGCTCGTACTTGGAAAGTTCTCAGCATTTTCAGCAAGTTCGGCAAACATCTGCTGCATATCAAATGCATATTGCTGATCAGCGTCCACAGGATTGTTACCAAGTTCAGGCTGTTGTATGCTAATAATATTGTCAAAGTCAGAATCAAAAAAATCAGGAATTTCAGAGTCATCCATCGTAAAGATTACCGGTTATGGCTGCAATGAATTCAGAATGGAGAACTTGAGCGAAACTCGAATTCTGGTTCTCAAGATATTGTGTGGTGGGAGCTGAGTTGCGCTCGCTCCGCCCCTTTTCTCTTCTGCTATTGGTTCGTTACGTCACATTAGTGACGGGTGCATTTAAGACGAAAGGCGCGAACAAAATCAATGCAGCTTGATTTTTTGAGCGTTTGTTCTGTTAAATTTTCAAAATGCTTATTTCAGGACTTTTTGTTTTGAGACTGCTTTGTATTTCATTTTAATAATTACGTTCACAGTATGGTCTCATGCAGTTTCTTCGGTTTACAAACAAAACAGACGGTTTATATGACCAAACTTTACTGGCCCAACGACAACATGTTTTAAGGAAGAAGCAATACAGTTTAACGATTCCCTAAAGACACGGGATGAACCAAAACAAAAGAATATACAAAAAGTCATGGCTAGAGTTGTTGCACTCACACGCAACCAACTTCTTTTCACTTCCGCTGAGGTCGAGCACGCAGACCACCGCGACCGCCCCTCCTCGTCGTCCACCGTGCGGGCCTCGCCCCTGGCCTCCCGACCGTCCAACGCCTCCATCCGATTTTTCCTCCACGTCCGCTTCGGCCACTTCGTCCGCTCCGGCCGCTAGGTCCATCTCGTCCGCGTCGCCGTCATCGTCCGACCCGTCCTCCTCGGCACTTCCGTCTTCCCCGGCCACTTCGCCTTCGTCGGCCATTTCCTCCTCTTCTTCCGTCCCATCCTCGTCGTCCAACTCGGCCAACCCGTCCTCTTCCGCTCCATCCTCATCGTCAGACTCGGCCACTTCGTCATCTTCCTCTCCATCCTCATCGTCCGACGCGCCCTGCTCGCCCGCTTGGTCAAGGTCCTTCAGACTGCGTCGCACCAGATTCCCTTCCTTCTCATCATCCGGATGCAACCAGATAAAAGCCCTCTTTGCAAGCGGTGGCCAGTGCCGAGTCCCTGGTCTGACAAGATTGTTGTCCTTGTCTTTGTACGCAAAAGGGTAAGGAACTTTCAGGGGAAATATCCCCGCAAGGTAGTACTTGCGATAGGGTCCGAGACGAAAACCTTCGCAAGGATAGTGCATCCCGTTTGGGCCCTCTTGACCGACCACATGTCGCACCATATTGTCTGGGTGCCCGATCGTACCGGATACGGTCAAACAGAATGGGCACTGAAAAAATCGAGAGCCTTGATGGGCAACGCGCTTTTTCCGGGCTTCGGTTTCCCTAGCAATCTGTAAAACAACAAGATCGGATATAAATAGATTAGAAAGGTCATCGGAGGGGGTTTCCGAGTGGGTATTCGGAAATGGCTCCGTAAACAAACCCGGAACCGTTTCCGAGGGGGTCACCGAGTGGGTTTTAGTCGTAGTACTGCAAAAGAGATTCACCTCATCTCGACCCGTTCCTTCTCGCCGGAGGTCCACCAGATCCTCGATTTTGGCCGTGGACTTCTCGAAAAAGACCTGGTCTCCATGGTAGTCCTGAGGGTCGGCGAGGCACTTTGTCCAGGACAGAACGTAAAAAGTTTTGCGGTCGATCGTCATTGTCTCGACTTTGTCGACTGGATAATCGCCATCTGGAGCGGTGGCAGAACCTGCTGGTTCAGTGGCCGTTGACAGGGATGGATCCGTGGCGAGCGACCGGGCGTATGAAACGTTGTTGCGCTTTGATTGTCGTCGTTTCGCGGGCTGCGCTGCGGGCGGTGATGTAGCAGCACGCCGTCCACGCATCGGAACAACCGACGCCGGAACAGAAGTCGACCTACGGAACAAAACAGATGTAAACAGCAGTTTGTTGGTAGAATGGGGACGGTCTGTTTTTCACCCATTGATACGCGAATGCCCTCGAGCGCTGCGTGTACGGCTAGCTACGGACTCTGCTGGTGAACGGCTGCGTGACGGTGCCGGTGCCGGCGGAGACTCCATGACGCTTACCGGGGGGCTCGGCCGGCTCCCCGTGGAAGCAGCGTTAGACACGGTTCGGGACTTGGCTCGGGCTCCTGCTAAAAGCGAGCGTGCCAACGGGATGGACCCTGCCGAAGCTCTGGCGTGTGACGGTGAGCGGTACGGATGGACCAGGTGATAGACCCGAGCAGGGGCCGAGACGGAGGCCGATGGCGCAGGACTGACTGGAGCTGGAGAGAAATCTGTTGGGCTATGGCGTCCATATGGCGTCGCAAAGGCAGTTAAGACCATGCCCGGCGCAAATTGAGTCTTATGGAGCCTCGTCGTCGTCCAGTTTTTGTTGTGCGTTACTTCTACAAGAAATGTAAAGAAATAGCACGTGGACTACTTTGACTTTCGAGTTTTCTCACCGCCAATCTTGATCGACTCAACAGGAGCCTGAATTTTTGCAGAAATCATGTTCCGAATCTGCTCCAACTACAAAGGCCACAACACCATGAAAATCAGCGTCAAACAATAAACTGAATTGTTTCGGTTCCCGAATTACCGTGTAGGAACCTTCCACTCCGATTTTGACGGTGGAGTTCTTGAAAGGAACAGCTACCTCGACTGTCAACATTTCTGCAAAACAAAACCATAAAAAACATGAGAAAGCATAAGAAAACATGAGAAAAAATAAGAAAACATGAGAGAACATGAGAACGCATATTAAATATGAGACAATATAAAGATACGAAATGCGGCAACAGCACTCCACTTGCACTTGCCACAAATCCATCAGTGTTAAAATAGTTGAACACAAACCACATGCAAAGCAAGGCGGCTTACCTTTCGTTGAGTGGTTTCTGGAAGGCGAGGAGAAATTCGGGAAGGATGAGGAACGTGTGTGAAGGAGAGGCCACGCAGTTAACCGTCTGCACCGATCACAACGACGCTGCAAAACAACAGCACAGATAAAATTCGGTGGTGGCCGCGAAATATTTGCCTAAAGCAAACAATATGGCGGCACAACAACAAACAACGATGCAGGCCGTCAACACAGGTGATTCCACGATGAAGTTCCACGCTAGAAACTGCGTAATCCCGTCTGCGTCTGAGTATCCAAATGGGAGAATGCTTCCAGCAGCACAACCAATGGAAACACGCAATCAGTTTCCACAAAAACTACTGCAGCTGATATCATGGGGTCAGAAACAGTCTGGCAAAGAACAGAAATCAGCAAACAAAACTGTCACACTAATCAAGAACCAACACAAAATCACAAGTAGCGAACTCACCGCATACTTTAAAATTTGAATTTTAAATTTCAGTATTTTGCTGGAAGTCAGCGCTAACTGCCACCCGCCCAGCAGTGGTTCCGTTTTGCCTTAACCATACATTTCTATGGCAAACAGTCCTGCACACAAGTCTATGGCAAACAGTCCTACACAAAGTCTACGGGATCGTTATAACATACAGTCTATGGCAAACAGTCCTATACAAAGTCTACGGGAAATTTTAACATACGAGTCTATGGGCCTCAGTCCGTATTGCTGCTCATGCT